GTAGAAATAAATCTGCCAAATTTATACTACATTCCATTTGCATGGACCCTCAACATAAAAACATACAAACATACATACAAACATACATACATTGATACGTACATACATATATAATTTAAATGTGATTGGCTAATTCTTTATAAACAAAAGGACGTGACATTACTGGATAACAAGAGATGTTTAATTGTATGTTTGTGTGTCTGTTTGTATGTATGTTGGATTGTATGTTTGTTTGTTTGTTTGTATAATTGTTTGTATGTGTGTTTTTTGTACGTATGTTTTTTGTATGTATGTTGGTTGGTTTGTGTTGTATATTTGTATGTTAAATAAAACTGACAAAACAATTGTGATGTATAGATGTTTTCTGATTGTTTGTCTTCAATATATACTTTGTATATACAACTGCACATAGGATTATATATATATATATATATATATATAGGTATAAAAGTGTATATTTTTGTATACACGCACACACACACACACTGTCAATCTCAAAATGAGCACCATCGCATTTTTGACTTTTCACCAATTCCTATTCAATCAAATACGTATTCACCTATATTATACATATATGTGTGTGTATTTATATATATACATACATATATATATATACATATACATATATATACACACAGATGCGCGCACGCACACACACACAGAAGTACATAGATACACCGATACACATACACGTACACACATATCATACTTTGTGATATTCTTGAAACTAATCGTCATTTTAGAATATTAAAATATTGTATTAGTGGAATTTGGCTTGCTCATTTCGTGAAAAATTGGCACTGTTTGAAACAAATCTGTCTTCAAATTAATGAGAAATTTTTTTAGGTAAGATCACAAACACACACAAACAAACACAAACACACACATACATACATACACACAAATACACATATACATACAACGATACATGCATACAAACTTAAAGATAAATAGAAAGTGACTGTAGTTTGAAACTGATGCCTGTATTGCTTGGATACTCGCACATCTAATCTGCTATGCAAGGTTTATGTGCGTCTCTGTGTCTACATGTCTGTCTGTCTGTCTCTGTGTGTGTGTATTTATGTTTTTGTTTGTTTTTATGTACGTCTGTTTGTAGGCGTACATAAAAATCTCACTTTCTATCTATCTCACTTTTGTATATGGTTGTAGGGTCTTGTGTGTATAATCGAATGAACGAACGAATGAATCAATTGGTTAATACACACACACACACAAATACAAACGCACTTACATGCATTATCAAATTATCATCAAATTATCAATAATTCAGATATCTTAACCACAAATTTAAGGATTATCATTGCAATTCTTACATTAGAAGCAAATATTACTGTCAGCATTGTGACAAAAAACTTAGTATTTAGTAACTTTTGAAATTTAAATTTTAACGGTGACAAATTTTCCGCCACCGCAGAAAATCTTCGTCATCCAAAATTTGAGGAAAGTATTGACGAAATGACTAAGTTGCAACCGGCATCAATAGCTCACTCAAATAGACCGGTGCATCACCAGTCCAACAGTCTCTGACCAAAAGAGCGATTTTGAACCGAAATGGAGTGAGACTTTGAAACGCCGGCTATCATTCTTGCTGCCACGTTTTGTATTGATTGGACGAAGTCCTGTAGAAATATATTGGTTTCATACATTATCGAGTTGGAGAAGTCAACTCTACTACAGACAAAACAGTGAACAAGTGTTTTTGCTGACTCCATGTGAGAAAACGTCCGATTGTTCTGATTCAATGAATTTAATAGAAACATTTCCGACAGATATTTTTTACATGATCTTCACAAGACAGACGTGAATCGAACATCACACCAAGATCGTCCACCGGTGACGTGAAGTTGTTCAGTAAACTCAATCTTTGTCGAGTACCTAGCCAGATGGGCTGAGTTGTCAAAACGTTTAATGCCAAGTTATTAGCTGGCACCCATTTTGCCACAGTGTCAATTGAAATCGACACCTTTTGTTGAAAATAATACATTACATACATGTGTGCGAATATGTATGAAAGATGTTTAGCAAACTATACACACTCACATATACACACACACAAACACACACACACACACACACACACATATATATATATATATATATATATATATATATATATATATATGACAGTGATATAGAGCAATGAATTGTTGTATAAATGTCGTGCCGGCCATTAAGCACTCGGTTGGTGGTTTTACCGGGAAAAAAGGACGGTAAAAAATTATATAGCGCTTTTATTTTAGCTGCCATGTTTTATTTTAATTTATTATTAAAATAATTATTTTTAATTTTATTTTTAATAGTAATAACATTTATAATAACGAAAATTTTCGGTGATTTTGATACTACTGATTATTAATAATACTGATATTTATTACTATTACTACTACTACTACCACTACCATTACTACTAATACTAATACTGCGACTACAACTACCACTACTACTACTACTACTAATACTGCTACTACAACTACCACTACTACTACTACTACTACTACAATAATAATAATAATAATAACAACAACGAAAGCATAATAGCCATAGTAGGAGTAGGTAATAATAACAATTTGTATTGTTGGTGAAAATGAAAATAATTAAATTTGTATTTCAATAAATTTCCAGTTTGGTGATTTTGTTGAAAATTTTAAGCAATTAATTAATTAATTAATTTTAATTGAATAGATAAATTAAAACATCTCGAAATTATATTGACAATAATAATTACAGATCACACTAAACGTGAGTTTTTTTCTAACTTTTTTCCAATTGCACTTCCAGTTAACGATGATTGTGATGTGAATGATGATGATGATGATGGTGGGGGCGGTGATGATAATGATGGTGATGAAGACGACGACGACGATGATGATGGTGAAAATAATAATATTGATGATGATGATGGTGATAATAATGATGACGATAATTATAGTGGTTAAATTCCATTTCTCTATTAAAATATTTCTGAAATTGTAGTTAATTGAAATAAAAGTACCGGTCTATATATATATAAAATGAAAAAATGAATGACTGAATGACTGAATGACTGAATGAATGAATAAATGAATAAATGAATAAATGAATAAATGAATAAATGAATAAATGAATAAATGAATAAATGAATAAATGAATAAATGAATAAATGAATAAATGAATAAATGAATAAATGAATAAATGAATAAATGAATAAATGAATAAATGAATAAATGAATAAATGAATAAATGAATAAATGAATAAATGAATAAATGAATAAATGAATAAATGAATAAATGAATAAATGAATAAATGAATAAATGAATAAATGAATAAATGAATAAATGAATAAATGAATAAATGAATAAATGAATAAATGAATAAATGAATAAATGAATAAATGAATAAATGAATAAATGAATAAATGAATAAATGAATAAATGAATAAATGAATAAATGAATAAATGAATAAATGAATAAATGAATAAATGAATAAATGAATAAATGAATAAATGAATGAACGAACGAACGAACGAATGAATGTATGGATGAATGTATGAATAAGTGAATGAATCAATGGATAAATCAATTAGATAACAAAAATAAACGAACAAATTCATACACTCACATGTTGAAACAAATCTATCGTAAAGCAGATAAAGATGATTTAACTGTTTCCAATTTTGTTCATCCATCCATCCATCCCTCAATCCATCCATCCATCCCTCCATCCATCCATCCCTCCATCCCTCCATCCATCCATCCATCCATCCCTCCATCCATCCATCCATCCATCCATCCATCCATCCATCCATCCATCCATCTATCCATCTATCCATCCATCCATCCATCCATCCATCCATCCATCCATCCATCCATCTATCCATCTATCCATCCATCCATCCATCCATCCATCCATCCATCCATCCATCCATCCATCCATCCATCCATCCATCCATCCATCCATCCATCCATCCATCCATCCATCCATCCATCCATCCATCCATCCATCCATTCATTCATTCATTCATTTAAAACTTTCCATCCATCCATCCATCCATTCATTTATTCATTCATTCATTTAAAACTTTATCTTCCTGGTAGTCAACTTATACGTGTTCCGCGTTAGTTAGCTTCCTGTCATTGTCGAGTTTCTTTAGTTCAAAACCAAAATTTTTATTTATTTTAAGCCTGATAGAGCAAAAAAGCTTTCTTCGATATTCCTATACCATCTTCGGTGTTCGAATTGATATGTTGCGTGTGTGGTCAAATGCTCAAATATATGTATATTTTGTTTCTCTACTTTGCCGATTCACTGTTCATTCAAAGTGAATACTTAACCATCATTCAAAGTGAATACTTAACCATCATTTAAAGTGAATACTTAACCATCATTTAATTAGTTTTTCGATCTTCAACTTCGTCCAATATGACACTTTTACCTGTCATCATTATCGATGATTCCTCTGTTTGTAAATTTATTAGTGGGAAGGATTCCAATTGCCAGTTGTTGAATATTTATTATCGGATGTCTTTGTTCTATCTGTATTGATTCGGACAGCCGTAAATTATAATGGTTTTTATTGTAATGTAAGATTTCAACATCGTTGTCCAAATTTGCCTAGTAATTTTAGTATCATGTTTCTCTTTCATGTGATTCTTTATAGCGATTCTTTATAGCACCAGTTTGAACGTGCATCGTGAGTCTTCTCGATAGCATGGCCGTCGTCATACCAATATATTCGGAATTATGGTCCCACACTCACCAATATTACATTTGAACAAATGTATTAAAATGGCTATGATCCATTATCGATTCTGGCTTACTCGTATTGAAAAAAAAACTGTATTTACGATCGTGTGTGCGTGCGTTTGTGTGTATGTGTGTGTGTGTGCTTACAATTACTATATAGAAACAATGTCGTTGACGGTGAGGCAGACAGACGGCAATTACTTGGCTATTTTTAATGAATGACCTTATAATGCTGAATTTAATTAAACAGTCGAGATGCTGTCGATAAAAGCCAGAGTGGCTACTGCATCGGCTACATCAGCCGCAGCAACAACAACAGCAACGACTATGACGTCATTTTCAATAGCAACAGTGACGTCATTTTCAATAGCAACAGTGACGTCATTAACGACGACAACATTGACTGCAATAGCAGCAGCTGCAACGACAACAACAACAACATCGGCGCCTCTTATAAATGGCCCTCATATATATTGCACATGCTCGCATAGGAGATCCAACGACAAATTTTCCAACAATTTCAATAACTCCAGCAACAGCAACAACAACAGCAACAGCAACAGCATCGGCAACTTCACAGACAATATCAGCAACATTTTCGGCAAGAATGAAGACGACGTCAACTTATATAACTATAACAACACGGTGGAACGAAATTTAAATTGCCAGCGAGGCAATAGCCATGTACGTGCTTGCCACACTACGTCTTACGGTGCAACTAACAACCACAAAATCATTCACACTAACAACAACAACCACGACAATGATAACAACAACAACAACAACAAGTCTGATTACCGTATGGAGAATCTAAACAATGGGTTGTACTCAAAAACGTTGAGCTGCGATCGAATTAAACATCACCACCATCATCATCATCAATATCACCTACAACATCAACAGCAACAACATCAACATAAAACATTTCAGCTATCTAGTATTCAACAACAACAACAACAAAACTTTCAACAGCAGCAGCAGCAGCAACAACAAAAACAGCATCCGCACATTCATATTAACGAGAAAATCAACAGCCCTATTTACCAACGACAAAACACATTTGAAATGCACCAACATTATCGGCAATGTCAACAACAACAACAACAACTGCAACAACAACACCCTCAACACCAACATCAACAACAACGACATTCTCTGAATAGCATGTTAGATTCGACAACAACATCGACGATTTGTTCAACTGAGTTCATCGAACGGTCTGCAAATTTTGCTAACATCTCAAAGACAAAGGACATAGACAGCAGATTTAGGTATCATTACAAATTTAAAAATACATCTTTTAATAAATGAATTCATAATTATTTAATTAATTAATCATTTAGTAAATTAATAAAATAATTAGTTGATTAATTAAACCAGCCTTTTAATTTTCAAACAAACAAAAAACAACCAACAACAAACATCAAATATCAACAAAATTACATTCGCTTTTTCTTAGATTGACAAGGTCAAACTCGAGGTCATCCCTACCGACAACAATCACCATGACAACCGACGACGGTGACGTCACTACTAATAAAAGTGATGGCAATAAAAAGAGCAGGAATGGGCGAAATTTATCGAAACTAGTTCAGCTGCTGCTGTGCACACTCTCTGGTCAAGTTATCGGTATCGGTATATTCGGCTGGATGTTCGTTTTACTCGGTTACTCCTTCGCCATTTCCGCTATTACGTCAGTTGTCCTGTTTATTTTTCTAGCGCTTGTTTTATCCGGTTGCAAGCTGGCGAGGTGTGCTGCGGTCATATTCGTGCCCTCGTGTGCCACAGCGAAGGGAAGGATTGGAGTGATGCTATTGGTTGGAGGATTGCTGGTGGGCGGTCCCACTAAAGATATCTATTTTAGTCTTGTCGAAATTTCCAGGTTTTATTTTAAACATTTTGAATTAATTTATTTTTGACACATATACAAATTAAATATTTTTTCAAATCAAAAAATTAAAATAAATTTTTATAAATAAAATAAATAACACTCCAATGCAACCAGATACATGTCCTGCAGCCAATCACACCTCTCCATGCAGCAGGAAATGTTGATGAGGCCGTATGACGTCATGATGACCCATTTAAACAAAACGATAGGAAAGCTAGAAGTGTTAAGTAATGACCTCATTTTGAGTCTGAAACCTTTGGAGGTAACGCTGGACGAAGTAGAAGTTAGCAACGATAACGCCAGACTACAGCTGTTTGGGGCTCAAAAGGTCATTCTGTAAAAATCAATAATTTTTATAATAGCATTAAAAAGCGCTGTACAAACTCTGATGGTGATAATGATGATTATGTATGCCAACAGAAACAATAATAAAAATATTATCATTGCTGATGTAATTCGTCATTATTGTTATTATTACTACTATTATTCTTATTATTATTATTGTAGTAGTAGTAGTAGTAGTAGTTGTTGTTGTTGTTAATATTATTATTATTATTATTTCTCATTCCATAATAGACCTGTAGACATCTCATTAAGAGTGCCCATCAAACATGCCTTGCAGGTTTGTGATTGTTAGTGTTGTTATTTATTACCGTTATTATTATTATTATTATTGTTGTTGTTGTTGTTGTTGTTGTTGTTATTGCGATTTTGTTGCTTTGTTATTAACCTTATCGTTATTTTTTTTTTAAAAAGCACCTACCTAGCAGAAATATTTCGTAATTAATTGACATTACAAACTAATTAAACATGAAAAACGCAACAAATAAACACACGCACACGCACACACGCACACATACACACTCACACACGCACGCACACATACACACACACGCACGCACACATACACAAACACTCACGCACGCACACGCACGCACACACGTACAAAGGAATAACTAAAGCCCAAGACCAATGCGTTGATGTGATAGGAACGCTCGGAACCGTGTATCACCATGCAAGAAATGTACTGGATAAAATTAATCCAGAAAAATGGAATAACAACAACAATAACATCAACAATATTAACAACAACATCAACAACATCAATAACGTTAATAATAATAATGATATTAATAATTATAATAATACGGTTAAAACACTAAAAAATAATCATCACAACCATCATCATCAGCAGCAGCGTAAACAACAACAACAACAACAACAACAACAGCAGCAGCAGAAACACGAAAATGTAATTGTAGATGATAAGACGGATGAAATAATATTGAAGTATTACTCTAGGGATGGCCTGAACTTACAACATCAACAAAAACATCAACAACAATTACATCATCAACAACAATCACAACAACAAAATAGAAAACAGCAACAGATAAAACCTCATAATAATCATCAGCAGCAACAACAACAACAACAACAAAAATATCATCAATATTTGAAGGTCAAAAGGCGTTCGTTTAATGAAGAAAGGTTTCTAACTATGTTTATGTTCCTTGACGGTGTTCATGTTGATGTTATTGATGTCAGGGATGGTCTTTATGTTACTGATGTGATTAAAGTCTGGGATGGTGTTTCAGATTCAAATTTTCGATAATTAGAGGCATCTTTAAGTTCAAATTTCAACAACAATAACAACAACATCCACAGCAACAATTAAATCAACATCCACCATGAACATCACCCCACCACAAACCCACCACACCACACCACACCAAACCACACCCCACCACATCACACTCCACCACACCCCACCAAACCGCAACAAACCACACCAAACCACACCAAACCGCACCAAACCACACCAAACCACACCACACCACATTCCACAACAGCATTAGCATGGACGAGTTAGATCTGACAGGCAACGAACGAAACATATGTGACCCGCTGGACACGGCGGCTATTTGCAGCGCCCTCAACGACAGCGCCGAAATCTGTCGCCCGATCAATTGGGCCGGTGACGTCATTCAACACGTCATCAACTCCACCGAACACACCATCAACAAGTTGAAATCCATGCTCGCTTTTAAAGTAAACACGCGTTATTACTGGCTAGCGAGAGGAAATAGATCAAATTTGTTACACGGTGGTAATGGTGTTGCTGTAGCTGATGATGGCGAGGGCGATAATGAATACAACAACAACGACGATGCTGGGTATAATAATGAAGATAATGACGATGATGGCGCGACGAGTTCCATTGGCTTCAACAGAACTACGCTAAAAACCAACTCTAAATCTATTATTTTTGACGAAAAAGAACGATTTATAAAGTTGTTGCAATATTCAGAATCCACACTCCTTGCACTGGGGCTGTTCACAATTATCCACTGTGCATGCGCCTACGTTAAAGAATTCAAACGCAACATCACGTTCGACAACTTTTACATCAGCAACAAGTTCAAGCAGTTAGATCGCATAAGAACCAGCAGCAGCAACAACAACAACAACTTTTCCGCTACGAACGATAACAGTTTAGAGATCTTCCCAAACGATGCCACGAACAACTGGACCGACAACGCTGACGTCAATGAAGAAGACGTCGAAAATAATTATAAGAGCAATCAAAACATTGAAAGCCGAATGGGCAACAACAACAACATTAACAGCAGCAACAACAACAACACTACCACCAGCGCGTATGACAACGAGTTGTACACAAACAACAACACCAACGGCAGCAATTTATATGCCAACAACCACCCAGCAACAACACTGCTACCGTTAAAAAACTACGAAAAACTATTTGTGATCGACCAGACGACATGGCGCCTAACAAAACGAGAAGTAGGGATGGCAAGAATTGGGATGTGTCCGTATTTTATCCTCCTGACCTTCAGCGCGACCTTGTACGCCATCGACGTCTCAATGTACTGCGTCATCAATGTAATCTTCATGGCGTCAGATGTGGCATACACCAGGACGGGGGCCAGGAGTTTGTTCAGCATCGTAACTGGCGGTGGTGCAATCGGAGAGTTGGTGGACAAGTTCATCAAAGAACTCCACCCAACCAGATGGTTCAGAGGTGCCTCCACCGCCAAAAAAATGCGAAGTGGTGCTCGAGGTCAGAATGATTTCCAAAGTGATGACGACGACGTTTACGACAACGCATTCCGACCTACTTGCTTCTCTAACAGAGCTCAATTAGACTTCAGATTTTTATTTATCATAATTTTTTTCCACGTCTCTCTCTTGCTCGTTGTACTCTTGAAAGCACGCATGTTCAGGTGGCGAAACCAGCTAGTGGGATATTTCTACGCTAGAAAAGAGCAGTCGAGAACGAATTATTTGTACAGCGTCCTCTGCAAGCAACGTGTTAACATCGTTCTTATCCTACAGAGAGTAGTCAAATCTAACCACAGACGCTACCACAACAACAACAACCACAAGAATAACAATCATTCAAATCGTCAAAGCAGTTCGCTACTTAAAGGTTGTTGTTCATTCTGGCGTCAAAGAAACCCGAACGATAAATTCGAAACAAATAAAAACGAAACAAATAAAAATAATACAAATAAACTAGCCATGATACGTCTGCTCAAAAAGTTATTCGGCCAACAACACGAGGGTTGTTTCGTCTGCGGCGATTCGTGCGATTCAAGACGGAAATATTTTTGCCCCACTGAACGTTGTTGTGGGCGATACTGCCTCTCTTGTTTCATGGACCTCGGCCAGGTCTGTCCACTCTGTAATCATAACAACCGTTGCTATGACGTCAACTAGGTGATCGGCTGATCATGTAACGCCTAACAATTGTGGACAATATTTATTTCTTTTTTTACTCGAAAAACATGCTGTTCCTAGTTTTTTTTCGTGTTATTTTAATCTTAATTACTATATATGACAGTTCAAACGGTTTTTTTTATGATCCAATTTAGTGTGATAGATTTTTTTCAAAATTTGTTTTTGATTGTAATTCAGTGGAAAAAGTTAACTTGTATTATCTAAGATGAGTATTTTGTTAGTTTAACATCGTAAAATTATCAAACTTGATATGCACAATTGCACATATGTAGTTAAATAAATATTCGTTCCTTCATTAATCCACTCACTTATTCGTTCTTTCTTTCATTCATTCATTCGTTTACAAGCTCATTCATTTGTCCTTTCATTTATTATTTATTTTAATGAAACTATTACCATCCACCCTTCATAAATTTTACTTATTAGTTATTCAAATTCATTGAAGATGATGAATTCTTGTCTTTTTAGCAGTAAAAATGATAAAAATGGTAAAATTAGTTTATTAATTTTCAAAAAAATAAACAGTTATCAGTAATCAATTTGAGCAAAGTGAACAATAAATAAATGTCTGTGTGTGTGTGTGTGTCTGGGTTTTTGTGTGTGTATGTGTTCGTGTTTGTACGTGTGTTTGCAGCAAATTCGAAGTCTTTAAATAGCATATAGCTGTATGTATACGGTGTTTTACATCAATATTAGCACACAAACATACACACACACACACACACACACGACACATACACACACACACACACACACACACACACATATCCATCTCAGACCTACAAAGCAAAACAGAGATCTATCAAATTGATGACAACAGTGGATAGATGAATAATAATTGAACATTATAACAACAAAAACATTATCCTCAATCGAAAAAAAAAACACACACACACACATACATACACACACACACATACACACACACACATACATACACACACACATACACACACAGGCCTATGGCAAAAATATACTTAATGTAGACATAAAAAGTTGAAATTATTCAGAAGTTGGTATAATATATTTATCAGCCTAGGTACGTATGTAAGGCGTGTGTTATCTTGCATAACCCAAGCAAAAAGTTGTAGTGTTTCTTTAAACCACAAGCAATCTTGAAAATTTATTTATTTATATTTTTATTTTAAAATAAATGCATATATTAAGATGATACCTCGTAATGGTTTTGGCATTAAAACAAATTGTGGGGCGAGGTGAGTTTTAAAAATCAGTAACAAATAATTGCAAAATTATCATCGCTAAATATTTTTCAATCAGTTTATGTCATCAATTTTTCACACTGTGTTGTTGAAAGACTGATAAAATTAGGATCAGAAAAGTAATGTAGAACTGCGAAATTACAATGGCTGTTAAACTCAGTCATGCTCTGTAACAAACGAACAAAACGAACGAACATTTATCATTTTTGATACATGGATATCAAAGGCACTAAAGGTAACAAAGAATTAAGAATCAAGGTTCGAGGAATGGAAAGCCGATGGGCTTGGGTGATCTGTGCAGCTGCTTTCATCACGACAACCATAACCGTCTTCTCATTTTCGGTTTTCATAGACAAGTTGGTTGTGCATTACGACAGTGATCACAAAACTAACGGTTTTCTCGGCTCAACACTTCCGTGTATGTCATGCGGTTTAGGTTGGATTGTAATTTTTATTTTATTATTTTATTTAATTATCAATATTTCATTAAACAAAAAAATTTCTAAAAAAAGTAAACAGCTGGTATCATTGGTAGCAGCTTAACAAAACTATTGGGCTGCAAAGTGATTGCCTCATTTAGTGTTCTCGCAACTTGTTTGGGCATGCTTGTAACTGTTGCGGCTGACAACCTCATAACGACCTACATCTTTTACGGAGTTCTTTCAGGCCAATATTTTATAGAAATTTAAAAATTAATCTTATTTTGATTGTAGAAATTATTCGTTTAAAGGCTTAGGAGCGGGTGTAACGCTCCAGCAGGTGATCAACATCATCCCACAGTGGTTTAACCATCAGAAATCGCTAGCCTTCGGCTTATCGACGTGTGGGGCTGGGCTCGGAACTTTATTTTTCGTGAGTCTGTCTCAGTATTTGATGGATCGGTATTGGTGGAGAGGTGCATTACTGATTCTCTGCGGAATTTCTCTCAACTGTTTGCCTTACGTCCTGCTGTTCAGAAGAAATTATCAGGATTTGTTAAATCTAGAGTGAGTACAGACATTTTTGTTAATGTATAAGTTTAAATTTAATTGTGAAACATATTTCTTCAAGAGTTGACGACTCATTTGGCAGTCAAGAAGAAATAATTTCTTCTGTGGTACATCATTCCACAAACGATTTAAACGATAAAAATTTGAAAAACAAGAATTCAGCTTACAATGAAATGAGTTACGGACAGCCAGCAGTGGAAATGATAACATCAGAATCTGAAACGAAGAAACTAAGCTCTAATGGAAACGTTACGCCTAAATATGTCTTCATAATCTATCCAGTCATTTTCATTCTATACTTGGTCCTGTATGTGCCTCATATTTTTCTCTTCGATAGATACACTAAAATTGCATTCGAGCAAGGTGATCAAAGTTTGGTGAAAAAAAAATCCGCTGATAATTTCATTAGCGGGCATGCCAAGTTCTTTCTTCAGAATTTTAACAGGCTGGGTTGCGGATAAAAAGTTTATTCGAAAATCTGTTTTATTTCTTGCAGTCGCCATGTTTGCTGGCGTGTATTCGGTGGTCAGTCGTTATTTCAAAAATACGGTGACCATGATTTTATACTCTCTCGAAACCGGACTGACCACTGGTTAGTTGAATCTATAAGAAATTTTTCTCTTTCATTCTAAAACAGCAACATTGTTTTTGGAACAATCGGTATGACCATGAAATTGTCATTTTTTAATATTAAGGAATCTTGGAGTGCATCTTACCGTTGATATGTTTGGAACTGTTCCCACTGAAATTTTCAATCACGGCTTTGGGATGGTTGATGCTCTTTAAAGGGCTTGGTATTTTAATCGGATCGCCTATTGCAGGTTTAGCTTTCAATTTTTCAAACCAACAATTTCAGTTTTTAACTTGTTTTCATTTTTTTTTTCAACAAACAGTTTTCAGTATTTCACCAATTCCGCAAATTTTTTCAAATATACATTTGATTTTCAGGGTTACTATTTGACTGTTACAAAAACTACGATGCTACCTTCTACACGAGCGGTTTGTGCCTTATAGCAAGCTCTCTTCTATCTCTTCCGATCATTCTTTATGGCAAAAAATAATTATGTCTTAAATTTTGTGGTAAATTAGCAATATTATTAATATTTTTAGTGATATTTTTTACTTTGGCAATTTTGCAATTTTGCTTGAGTTTTGTTTGTTTAGCGCTTCTCCAGCGCTTCTTCTGTTTTATATATAGAAGTACTCTCAAATTTTTATTAACACATACACACACATACACACACACACACACACACACACACACATACATACATACAGACACAGACACAGACGTCGTACAAGTGAGATACGTTATATAATACATTATATATATAACACTTAATAACTTAATATAACAATTAATGATGTTCATGTACACAACAATATTTGTTTCTGTTTATTAACCAAAAAATTTTCTTAAATAATTATTTCATGTTTAATAAAAAAAGATAGTAAGCGAAGCAAGTAAAATTAGTTCCCGCAAGAAACAAATTGATGAACATTTGGACATAACTTAACTTCACTTTCTCCAACGATAATATAGTTATAATTATATATAGCAGTCAATCAATAACACATATACGGGCAGCAATTGACAGAAGGAAAGCAACATCATACAAGCCTTAGCATTTAATTAAATATAAAACATTAAGGAAAGCTGTACATTATATTAATATTACACATTATAATATACATTGTTCTTGAAGGAGCTTACTTGTTTGTTTTTCACTACTTATGAGAGTTGAGTTATCCTAATTCCTAATTTCAGTCACGTAGCCACCCGACCAGCCATTTTGTACCTTCTCTGAATGAGGCAAGTCACGATTAAGTCAAGATCGCACAGTTCACAAGTCGTCTATGAACTTTAGTATAAATCGTAACAATAGTAACATCATCACCAAAAGATGATGGTACAATTTTTACAAAACGTTGACGCGAAACCGACTTAATCATTGACTCACTGACTAAATCATGCACAATGTCGCCAACAGTTTTGTTGCACGATTTGATGCGCAACATGATTGTGTTGTGACTTGGATATATACCCATTGTTGTGACATATTTTTGCTGTAAAATTATGATGATTGATTTTTTTTTAGTCTTTATTATCGCAGCTCTGACATACGCCGAACCCCTTACAATGATGTTGCATATATATTATCTATATATCTTTATTTTAATATATTATCTATATTATCTTAATTACTGAACAACTACTTTTTAAAATATTTCAGCAGTTTAAGCTCAGCTATTTATGGCCCTCTTTGTAAATTATCGTGCACGTATTGAAACTTTACTGACTGTGAGCAGCATTTAATCCCCATTCACACGTGTCTACATATGTCTACGTGTTTCCACGAGTGTGTTCTGTGTTTGGTGGGCTTTTCTGTTTTATTCCATTTTTGTCCAGGGTATACTAATTTCTTACAATTATATAATTTCATTAATGAGTCTAACGTGTTATAGCCATAACTGTGTTCCTTATTTATAATTTAATTCTCTTGCTATCATTACTATTTCTCTATTTGAGAGTCCAATGATATCGTATTATATTTCTTTCTACTTGAAATTCATCAAAAATTTAATTAAACTATGCGTTGTAACAGATATCTGTTTCAGTGCAATAATCTTCATAACAATATATTTTATTTTATTGCTTTTATACTTAATTTTCAGTAAATGATAAAAATTTATTAAAAGAGAAATGATACTCAGCGCACCATAGTTATTTATTCTTTGCATCTATATTAGACTAATGTCGAAAGTTTTCAGCAGAGAGCTCCTTAAAAAAAGTTAAATGACACATTTTTGGCACGTTTTGTTCAAATTATCCCGCCCTGTGCCTAATTTAAATGGAAAACTGGTTGGTGTCGTTTTGAGAAATTTTTTTTCCTGTCTCAACTCTCTTGTATTATCAGATAAGATTCATTTTTAACATAGCCCTGCCACTAACTAAATAATGAGAAAACGTCATTTTTAAAGTAGAAGGAATAATTATTACATAATTAATATGCTAATGATTACAACATAATTAATTATTTTAATGAATTTTTTATCGACGTGTAGTTCAAAATTATAAATTATGAAATTAATACTTTAGCAGCCTGTTAGAGGAACAATTAAATAATGGACATCAGCAATACAAAGAGGTTGAGTGCACTGTGAATGGGGTCAAAAAAATTATCTACGTGCCCATGGTGGACGGCATGTCAATTGAGCCGATATTTGCCCCACTGCCCCAGATTACAACCAATACTTTTAATAATGACCTCTCATCGCTGCATCCCTCTCAGAATGGTGATGCTACTGCTGCGAAGATTAAAGGCAACATTAACAGGAGGAAAAGACCAAAAGTGATTGATGAGGTTGTTCTGATAACTGATGATAATAACACTTCTAGTCAGCAACCAGTGGCAGACGTTATTAACGTCGATGATGTAGAAAACGAGGACTGCAACATCCAGCCATCGACTGTCATCACAGCAGAGAACTTGAAACATCTACTAAGCAACGACGCAAACAGCAGCACATGTAATAGAAACAACCAACAAAATAATAACCTCTTCATCAACATTAGTAATCATCTCAACGGCAGCAACAATCTTAGCAACATTAATGGTAATCACGGTAATAATAATGTTAATATTAGAAATAGTAACAGTGACATCTCTAACACATCATCTTTTCAACTACCAAACTTTGATGGTGGTTTCAATAACAACATTAACATTAATTACAACAGCAACAACATCGTCAGCACTAATTATAGCAGCAATACTCAGTCAGTGACAATAATTTCGAACAACACTCAACCCTACATTGCACATTGTCCTGTTTCCAATCTGCCTAACCCGACACCCTTGCCAAGATTAATAGATCAGCAAACATGCCATCAGCAGAGGTATCAAACTTTTAACAATCTCTATCCATCGTACCGAAGTTCAAGGCACCAGTGTCAATTTCAGCAGAACAGCGTTTTGATGCAGTGTGACTCTGGAGATAATTTTAATGGCAGGTCGATGTATGAAGATTCCCCAGTCCTATTGTTTCAACAACATCAACCATCGCCAATATATGCACATCAACAAATACCCATGCAACATCAACAAGTATCATTATATCAACAACAGCAACAAATACCATTACAACAACAAAAAATACCCTTGTACCAACAACAAATATCATCACAACAAAAAGTACCATTATATCAACAACACATATCATTACACGAACAACAAATACCACCAATACTGCAACAACAACAACCACCATCATATCGTCAACATTTAGCTACACAACAATCATCATTCTCGTTGTTCTCACATCAACAACGTACACAGTCATATCAACAGTCTCAATTGCCTATGTATCAACAACAGCAACAACAACAAATACCTTCATCACACCAACCACAACAATTGCCATTCTTTCAGGAGAAACAAACACCATTTCACGATCAACGACACCAACTACCATCTACACCATCGCAACAGTCTCTGCAGCATCAGCAACAGTCTCTGCAGCCACAACAACCGCAACAGATGCCATTCAATCAGCAATGGCTGTCATCACTGGAACCACAGCACAGATCATCACAGCAACCAATACTGTTACTTCGAGCACCTCAAAGTTCAACGTTGATTACGGTTGCCCCTGATTGCGTGACATCAACTCAGCAGGAAGAAGGAGAAAAAGACTTACAATCGCATCAGTGTCAATCACATCAACGTCGATCACATACACCAGAGTCGTCACGTCAACTAGACGAAACGCCAGACGACCAGCAGTCATCATTACATCAACTACATACACCACTACAACAAAATCAGCAGCAAGAAAAAATTTCCAAAAAACAAGAAAGGACCCCCAAAAAACGAAAAAAGACATCTAAACAGCAAGAGAAGACATCTAAACAGCAGCCAAGCAAACTACCAGAGCAACGCCAGCAGATAGTAGAAACATCCAGACAACATCAACAACAACATGGAAGGTTACAAGTCCAACAAATAACAACAACAAATCGGCAAGAAGCTGAAACATCAGAACAAATGCAATTAGAAATTTCAAAACAGACACAACAACGACAACAGCAGTTAGAAGCATCACTACAGCAACAACAGATAGAAACATCCATACTTCGACAACTATTAGCAGAGCAGAAAACTTCAAAGCAGACACAACAACAACAACACTTAGAAACTTCACAACAACAACAACAGCAATGCTTAGAAACTTCACAACAACAACAAAACTTAGAAACTTCACCACAACACTTAGAAACTTCACAACAACAACAACACTTAGAAACTTCACAAAAACAACACTTAGAAACTTCACAACAACAACAACAGCAGGGCTTAGAAACTTCACAACAACAGCATCACTTAGAAACTTCACAAAAACAACAACACTTAGAAACTTCACAACAACAACAACAACTTTTAGAAACTTCACAACAACAACAACAACGCTTAGAAACTGAACCGCAACAACAAAACTTAGAAACTTCACAACAACAACAACAACACTTAGAAACTTCACAACAACAACAACTTTCAGAGGAACAAGAAACTTTGAACCCACAACACCAGAAGCTTCAATCATCAACATCTCAACAGCGCCAATCTCCTCAACAACTACAAAAATCACCCACACCTGAACCACCACCACCACAACAACAACAACAGCAGCAGCTATGTACCAACATGTCGGAGATTTCACCGCAAGACCGGCCTAATGTATTTTCAAAATTCTTTACCATAACTTCTCACACCGACCCAATAACTACATTATCGTCGTCAAACCACCAGCAGCAGCAGCTGTACTCCTACAGGCATAGGTTACCGGTTTTGCCTAGCACAAAAGCCACCTGCATAAAAAGATCCCTAATGACGTCAAATATGTCGTCAGGGCAATGTCCATCTGAAGACATGACACCAAGTGTTGCTGCAACATTTCAACAGATTCCGATGTCGTTTTATTCACGTAGCTCGCTGACTCTTCAACAAGTCTCGAGCTCGTCACGATGCTCGTCTAGCCAGCCACAACACACGAATGCAACTTCAACTAATTCTGATAGCGTGGCATTCATGGCAAATGTTGTCGGAAAGTCAGTTGAAAAGGATGCAACGACAGCCAAAAGCGTCAGTCACAACAACAACGACAACAACACAGACTGTAGTAGCAAGAATAACAATGACATTAACAGTGTATATGGTAGGTTTTCTTATTCTGGCATTATGCAATTTGAGACTGAATCAATGTCAATTGTAACAACAATGACAACAAAATCAACAAACTACAATCTCAAACAGCAACCACAACAAATTGCAGCAACCTCGCTTACAACAACGACAACAAAACAACAACAACTTTCAACATCTGTAACAAATAATAAACAAAATAAATCAGGGGACCAAAAAACGAGTAAGCATAAAACTAAACTGGCAACAGCAACAACAACTGCTGCAACTAATAGGTCATCATCATCAGTAACGTCATCATCATCAGTAACGTCATCATCACTGACTAAATCTTTACCATCA